GGTGATATCACCCTCAGCTTCCTCATACTCTTTGACAAAGATATTTGTAACAATGTGGTAAGTGAGGAAGTAGGGGAGGAAAGCCTGTGTGTGTGCATGTGTGTGCACTGTGTATGTGCATGTTGTAGTTATATAAAAGTGCAGGTGATGATGGCTCACGCCTGTAATCCCAGCACTTTGGGAGGCCGAGGCAGCTGGATCACGAGGTCAAGAGATCGAGACTATCCTGGTCAACATGGTGAAACCCTGTCTCTACTAAAAATACAAAAAATTAGCTGGGCATGGTGGCGCGTGCCTGTAATCCCAGGTACTCAGGAGGCTGAGGCAGGAGAATTGCCTGAACCCAGGAGGCGGAGGTTGTGGTGAGCCAAGATTGCGCCATTGCACTCCAGCCTGGGTAACAAGAGTGAAACTCAATCCCAAAAAAAAGTGCAGGTGAAATGGACATGCACATACATGAGCATCTGGACTGAGTGGTTGAATAAGCAATGGAAAAACTAATGGGATTTGATCCCCTGGGAAACCAGAATTGGGAGATAAGCAGCTCTTTAACATGTCCCCTTTGTCCCTTTATATCTCCGAAAACATTGGGAATTGGTTCACAAGTCAGTGAAGAAACACCTGCCTACAGGGATTCTTGCTTCTGCCTCCACAGTCCTCACACCAGCATGTGTGATCCCTCTGAGCCAGGAGACCCCGTGTCACATTGCCCATGTTCCCTCAGGGACCAGCCAAACACTCAATCGCCTCATGAATGTTGGCAGGGTCAATGCATGATTGCAAGACCACATGAACGAGGACATAGGTGTCGAGAGAAGAATGGGCAGGGTGATTTCAGACACCTCATCTGAAGTTCACTCATCTGGAAAGTCAGTCTCCTGCAGGCTGCCCTCTCCATGTAGCTCCTTGATTTGTCTCCCTGGGAACTAAAACTCCATATATTTCAGAAAAATATTCCCCACCAAATGCTGGAATATTATTTTAGCCACAGTACAAGAAAAAGCCTTACCATGCTTTTTGATGTATCTCCCCTTATTTGATAGATTCACTAACACAAATGTTTCCTCTACCGTATCTTCCCAGCCCTTTTGATCTTCTTGTCGATAGCTCCAGGCACTGTCTTGTTTCCACTCCTGAAAGAGTAGGTGTGGAGATAACGCTTTATTGAGCTATTGTTTCCACAAAGTTAGAAGCGTGACTCATATAAATATGTAGCAGGCATATATCAAAGTTTGTTTCACTCATTAATAAGGGAACCTCAGTGTGAACACTGAGGACAAGGGAAAACTTTTTAACCAACTCAAGAAACCCTGAAGCTATAAAAGCAAAGGAAGTCATATTTGAGTCTATAAAAACTAAAAATATTTATATAGCAAAAGTTATTATAAACAGATTCAATTAAATCTGATGTATTAAATATTTTCATAAAGACAGATCAAAGTTTCAATGATATATCAAGATCTCTTGAAAATTGAAAAGAAAATTTAAAATCATTTTACACATTTTGTAGAAATTGCCAATGTACATATTTTTAGAAGCTCGAAGTTACTACTGGTCAGGAACTTGAAAATTCAGTTAGTAATGAGACTAGAAAAATAATGAAGAGCATTAAGATAAAGTGTCTCAGCGCAGGGGGTGATTTAAAATGCAGAGGGTGCAGAATCTCAAGCTGGTTAAACAGCTTGGGTTTTGTCTTTGCAGCAGTAAGGGTCAGGAGGGAGCCGAACATCTTTTATTTATTTATTTATTTATTTATTTATTTATTTATTTATTTCGGAGATAGAGTCGTGCTCTGTCGCCCAGGCTGGAGTGTAGTGGCACAATCTTGGCTCACTGCAACCTCTGCCTCTCCGGTTCAAGTAATTCTCCTGCCACAGCCTTCTGAGTAGCTGGCATTACAGCCACGTGCAACCATGTCCAGCTCACTTTTGTAATTTTAGTAGAGACGGGGTTTCACCATGTAGGCCAGGCTGGTCTTGAACTCCTGACCTTGTGGTGAGCCACTTTGGCCTCCCAAAGTGCTAGGATTGAAGGTGTGAGCCACTGCGCCTGGCTAAGCTGAGTATCTTAATAAGAGAATCTTTCTCTGTTAGAATCTCTCTTCGCTGATCCATCATCTTCATGTAGAAGCTTGTCAGCCTGGACCTAAAAAGCCCTAGTGCTTATTTCTCCTGCTGTGTTCCAGCTTTTCTCTCCTTCTCCTATTAACATTAAAGATCACCCAATCATCGTGGTGCTTCTCCCACCTCACATCTGAGTGTGGCTGGGCAAGGAAGATAAGTATTGAAGAAGGAAAGGTCTATTCTTTCCTACAGCATCTTGTACCTTATATTCTTTGTATTTTCTAAGTGAGGCTTCCATTGTTTCTGAATAAATATCTCCATCTCTCATCACTCACCTGCCCAGCACCTGGGCCAAGTGTCAGGACAGCATCCTGGGACTCAGATCTAACACTGAGAAGAAAAGAAGCCAGGAGATCAAGGCAGCAAGTCAAAAGGTTGATCTTAACCAGAGTTATGCTGCCTGGAAGGGAGTTCAGTGATCATGGGCTGTACTGTGAAGAAGAAAGAGTCTCAACATTCATTTTAGGCAATTTGTTCAACTATTACTTATAACAACAGAGAAGTTTTGTTACATAGAGATGTGTTCTTCTTCTTTGAAAAGAATAAGTCTATAGAGGTTCCTAACCTTCCCAACATCTACACAAGCAATTGAAACATGTGTCTGGGTTAGTGGAGAGAAAGGCAAAGCTGCCGTAGCCAGGGCCGACCCTCTAGAGCTCCATCCACCCTGCCGTTGGGGAAATCAGTTCTTTGGAGCAGCTTTTCCCGTAT